TTCCTGCACGACGCGGCCGTCTCCGCAGAGGGCGCCAGGGGCGGCGGAGTCCAGCGGGGCACGAAGGTGATGCCCTCCTCCTCCAACTGGTGAAGGTAGTACTCAATGATTTCCTTTCCCTTTAAAACAAAACCAGTGTCAGGTGAGCAGGCATTCAACATGGAAATCGCTCGTCCCTCACAGGCCTTTGTAACACTAACAAAACTGAACTGCTGCAGAATACACAGGGGAAGTCAAATGCCTCTGCATTTTTGTTTTTCACATTTTACTTCCTCTTCTCCAAAGGTCTAGGAAGTAGTATCTAAAGAGACGGAATTTTTATGACTAATTAGAAGCACTGCTTTACCACACTTGTACTCAATACGTGCTTTGTGTCTCAATCCAAATTCTTTCCAAAATAAAAAATAAAACAAGCCTTCAAAAGCACTCAGAACCCCATATTGGTGAGTTCAAAACCACACTTCCACAACAATGAACAGCAGCAAAGGAGCCCTAAAGAGAAGGAGCCCTCGCCGGTTTGGCTCAGGAGATAGAGCATCAGCCTCTGGACTGAAGGGTCTCAGGTTCGATTCCGGCCAACGGCACCTGCCCGGGTTGCAGGCTCGATCCCCAGTAGGGGGCATGCAGGAGGCAGCCGATCAATGATTCTCTCTCATCGTTGATGTTTCTATATCTCTCTCCCGTCCTCTCTGAAATCAGTAACAATATGTTTTTTAAAAATTATATCTAAAAAAAAAAAAGAAGAGAAGGAAAGTTCTTCCATGCAGATGAGCCAACGACCCAAGGTGGACCCCTGAGCATGCCTGGGAGGTGCCTCTTCCGGCTGCAGCACTTCCGGCCGCAGATCCTGGCGGGCACCAGGGCTGCTGCTGCAAGTGAGCTGCTCCTGCCGCACCCCAACTCTCACCTTCCCGGCAAGTCCCAGCCAAGAACGCATGGCCCCGGCCACATGCTCCTCCTCACCTCATGGGCAACCAGCATTCTGTGCACCCCAACCTACGCCTCCCACTCCCAGGGATCCAAGGCCCGGGGAAGGTCAGAGCAGTCCCCCAGAGAAATGGCTGGGACCCCTGAATACCCCATTCCCAGACTCCCAGAAAGCCCGCCAGCACCAATCATCCCAGGGACGCCTGCCCACCCTTTTCCATAAAACTCCCAGGCAGACTCACTTTTTTAATGTTGCTGGTATATTGTTTCATTGCAATTTTCTCCACTGTACTTTCAAAACCAAAGAAAGATTTAATATCTAAGCTTGCAGACTGTTCGAAACAGGTCCAATCTTCATTTTCAGGGTGAACCTTCAGATTGAGAAAGAACTGCATTAACTAACTGATAACTGAGAATATCATGTCTGCCCCTCAATCAGCTAGTCAGCGTAAGAAAAAACCTATTCTATTTTACTAATCATGTGATTACCATGAAAGCAGCAGATGGAAAAGTTACAGAGAGGGTCAAGATCACGGAGACCGAAGCACCATTTCTAAAATATTCAGGGCTGGCTTCATCAGGGAGGGCGGTCAGCAAAGGCTGGAGGAGGAGAGGGCGGAGGCCGCTGGCAGGGAGCCCGGAGCAAAGGTCCCCGTGAGGCCCGCCTAGGAGCAGACAGGAGACGGAGCGGGGCTGTGCATGAGGCAGGCAGGCAGCAGAAGTACGACCTCTGAGTGCAAAGCCGAGTCCCTGCTGGGTTCTGGGACCGCGTGACGTGATCTGACACACGGTCGGCAGGTGCTCGGGACTCAGGGCTGCTTCTATAGGAGGGTGGGGAGACGCGGGACACCCAGGAGGTTATTCTAGCGACCTGGGAGGAAAAGTTCTGGAAACGGTGGTCAGCGTGAAGCTTAGGGCAATCAATGCGCTCAGTGCCACTCTCGGAGGTCCCGGTGTCGTGACCTTCAACAGACATCTGAAGTCAGAGTGGGCCAGCAGAGCAGGCACATAAAGCAAATCCACACAGACCAGCAGCACTTGCCGCCTGCACTCTGAGTAACCGCGCCTGCTCCCCGACCCTGCCGCGGGAGGCGGGCGGCCTGTGGAGGACAGCCCGGTGGAGAGGACAGCCCCGGTACTCACAGTGTAGCAGCAGTGCTCCTTAATGATGACCCGGTTAGCAAACGTCTCATTATGGGCCTCAATGTGCAAAGTGCGCTCCCGGGAATTCAGTGAGTTTTTCTGGACGAAATAAACATAGTCAACTCCCGCAATCTTTAAAAAAGAACAGAGAGAAGGATGCATTAGTACCGCCCAATCGCAGCAGCAGCAGCAGTGGTGGTGTGCGTGATTCACTTAGGTTCGGGGCGCCTCCTCGGCCTGCGGTCACCTTTTTCAGCAGCCGGGGTGCGTCTATGTCCAGTTTGCAGCGTCTTTCTATGACGTGAATGGCCCCGTCCTCACTCCGGAATTCATTCACAGTGTCACTGTCCACAAACATCGGGATCAGCGGGCATGTGGGGAACCTCCTTTCGTAGGCCTGGGGAGACGTGTGGAGAAAGAGGGATGATGGGGTGGTCACGGACATCACAGCGTCCGTGTCTTCACCTCTCCAGCTCCCACTGAGAGGGAGGAATTTTCTGTGTTTGCTTTCAGGGCCTGGAAGGCTTGACACGGTCGAGGCCAATTCTCCCCACGTGGACACAGAAATTTCACAGGATCCCATCCAAATCCCAGCTAGGTTTTTATTTGTGGCTACCCATTTAATTATCTGAAAATGTACATGAAAAGGCAAAAGAACGGAACACTTTTGAAAAGGAGTGAGTTGGGAGGAATGGCTGGACCCGGTCCTCAGGCTCACCGTCTGAGACTGGCAGAGAGACAGACACGCAGCTCAGTGGACAGAGCGGACAGCCATAAACTAACCCACACGAACAGGCCCGAATGACTTCTGACAAAGGTGCACAGCAACCCAACGGAGGAAGACTAGCCTTTCAACAAATCACTGGTGAAAGGGCACACCCAGAGGAAAAAACGGGCCTCCACCGAAACCCCCCAAACTATAAAAATTAACTCAAAATGGATCACAGATTTCTGTGTGTGTGTGTGCGTGTGTGTGGAAGAGAGAGGGAAAGACAGAGAGAAACATCGATAAAAGGGCCCGGGCCGGGGAGGAGCCTGCAATCAAGGTATGTGCCCTTGACCGGAATCGAACCCAGGAGCCTTTGGTCCTTAGGCCAACGCTCTATCCACTGAGCCAAACCGACTAGGGCAAAATGGATCACAGATTTAAACATTTCTGTAACATCCTTGAAGTGATAAAATTATAGCAACAGAGAACATGCTGGTGGCTGCCGGGGGAAGGCGGGGAGAGGAGGGCGGCGGGGCGCGCGTGGGAAGGGCTCTGTATCTTGATGGCACCTACGCCAACGCCCTGGTTGTGGAGAAGTGCTGGGCTTCTCCAGATGCTTCCACTGAGGGCGGCGAGGGGGGGGCGCTCGAATAATGTTATAAATATCCAAATGGCCCTTGGCAGAGAAAAAGGTTCACCACCCCTGATTTAAGTTATGCAACTCAATGAGATGGGCTGTAGCCTGGAC